AAAAAGGCTGGCTTCATTTGTATGAACAGTTTTTTCAAATATGTATGTACTTGGATGCCCTTAAATTCCCCAAGTAGAAAGAAATGCTTTCCACGAAGCTGCTTATTCCTAGTAACCCACATCAGAGCTGACACATGAAAAATGGTGAAATTACTGAAGGTAGTCCAGCCTGAATAAGGACTACCTTATTAGTTCAGGTACTTGCATCTCCCTAATTTTCATATTAATCATGTGTCCATCTTTCTCTGAAATAGGGCCATCATGCTTCATGTCAGAATTTAGCATGTAAGTAAAATTCATAGTGCTTCAAATCTCAATTGAAAATATTTGTGAGGAGAGAACAGAATGACGGATCTTATTATTACCAACAAAGTAAGATTTCCTAAAATGTTCATTTTTAGCCTTGATATAGGAAAATTAGTATCAAGACATTTATAAAATCAATGACGGCCACATATAGTCCCTACCCCCAAATCAACAATAATGCAGTGTTCCTGTTTAAGAGAGCCGCTGTGCACTGTAATGTACCAATGTTATATATTTCTCATCAGTTTTTACAGTTCCCACTGATTAAATATATATTGACTCATAAAGCATTACCATCACATCAGTTGTCACCAGATGCAAGCATATGTCATTTAAGTATTAACTATCATATAAAAATGGCAGCTTGGTTGTATAGAAGCCATAATCTGGTACCAGTCATTCCCAAATTTCCCTAATGCATTAGCAGTCTCTCAGACTACAATGATCTCTGTACTAATCTGAAGCCAAAAAAAGAAGAAAAACCTTTAAGTAACTATTTCTTGTCTTTGGTTAAAAATTGTTACATGTTCACAGTAAATAACAGGTTTATTGACATAGAAAATATGTGTTAGCAGGTTAAAATTTTCCACTCTTCTAGAAGATGGAAGTCGAGGTCAGCTAAATAAGCTAAGCTCATCAGAAATATCCATTAAAAATTCAAATGAATACAGACTGCTACTATATAAAATTTACGCCATCAATATCATCTATAAAAATGAGCACCACATCACATTCTTTCTAGATGCCGTACCTAGAATGCTGTTGGCTCATTCTTGTTTTCATAAAGCACAATCACTGAAGCCTAGTAGTAAAATACCTCCCATTGGTAATAGAACTGATGCACAACAAACAAGTCTGGAGACATTTAAAAACCACCTTGCTCTAGAAATAGAAAAAAAAAAAAAAAAAAGAATAAAATACATGTTTTGCTAGGAGGAGAAGAGAAATGCATTCTATATGTTAAGTATCCTATCAGATGGTGTAGACATTGCCTAGACTATTAAAACCTTCTAGTAACTGATAGGTAATTGCTCATTTGCTGACTGTAGTGCTGTACAGCAGACAGGAGCAGTGAGAGAAGCCATCCTTCCTTGCTAATGTAACATGTAGAACTTGCTGCTATTGCAGCACTTAATGCTCACAGTACCGAGTCATCTTTAATGCAAACACACATTTTCTGCCTTGCTTCTATGTTTTCCATTATAATGCAACAGAAAACAGTATACATTTCATTCCATCCCTATGAGGTTTGCATAAGCAGTTCCAAGTCAGGCTAAATGTTGTATTGCTCTTATTATAGTGGATAAATATTTTAAAGTTTGCGAATTAAATATTTTATTTTATTTTTTTCAGTATGCTCCCTGCAACTATTATGAACTTCTTACAGCTTCTTCATTCATGGGAAATCTTTAGGGTTTCCTTTTTCAAATGTAAGACTATTATTGGATTTCCCAAACAGAAGCAGATCAGAGTGAACAAATAAAGTTGAACAAATCATTTTATACTTGGTGTTAATAAGAACAGTATGTTTCTTCATAAAAAGAGACTTTTCTATAAGGCATGCATATTTTATCATAATAAAAGTTTGCTAACAAAAAAAATGAATCGAGTAAATGTTACATCTTTAAGTATACAGTTTCTCTCTTCATTTTTATAATAGTTAACATAGATTTTCTTGGCATACATCTCTTTACTTGACACAGGTATTTCTCACACTAAATTAAGACAACGCAGCCAAAGAAGAGCATGTCCTGAGCTGTTTGGTTGAAACTTCCCACAAAATAAGAAACCAAGAAGTTGTTTACACATTTGCCTCAAGAGAAGCAGACTAATTAGGTTAACTGATTTATTAATATATGAAGTTCTTTGTCCAATTATTAAAAGTACAAACAGACTAGGGAGCAATTTAAATGTCTAATGCACTCAAAATCTTTTTTTTTTCCCAAAGGTTAATTATAATTCTAAGCAAGGCTGCTCCAGATAGGCCCCTTAGGTTTTATGCAGGTTTAAATAAAATAATAACAATAACATTACCTCATTGGCCAGCTCCAGGAGCACTGGGGCAGCTCCATTTTCCCTTACTCCATCCAGGTACCTAGACAGGACAGAGCCAAATGGTAATGTGTGACAAGAAAAGGCCAGCATAGACTTGTCAGCATCCCCCGTGTGTACACGTTTCTCCTGGGCAAATGCCACACTCAACTCTAGTTAAAGCCTGCTACTGTCACAGGAAGGCACTGAAGGGAAAAGAGTAAGAAAACAACTTACCTCCAGGCCACCGGCACCTAATGGAAGCTGGAGGCAGGAGATGTGAATGAGCATATTGGCCTCCCCCGTTTTCACTTCCCAACATGCAAAGTGAACACAGAGGTGATCTGGGAAAAACTACCCCTATCCCTACCATCCTGCCTTTCTCCATACTACAACCACCTCATGGAAAGAAAGGAGTTCACGTATGATTTGAAAAAAGCATCCATGAACCCGTATTGCTTTTTCATTTACTTCTGTTTCATAGGACTGGGTGATACCTTATTTAGAAAAAAATGGGCCCTAGCCAGTTTTGCTCAGTGGTTAGGGCACTGGCCCGGGGACTGAGGGGTACCGAGTTCGATTCCCGCCAAGGGCACGTACCTCAGTTGCAGGCTCGATCCCTGGCCCTGGTCAGGGAGCATGCAGGAGGAAACCAATCAACGTGTCTCTCTCACATCAATGTTTCTCTCTCTCTCTCTCTCCCTTCCACACTCTCTGAAAAGCAATGGAAAAAATATCCTCCAGTGAGGATTAGAAAAAAAGAAAAAAATGGAACACACTTGTCATCAGTGGGTCAGTACTTATTTCATAGGCAACATAAGCCATCATCTTATCTGCCCTGCATTTCTGTCACAACCTCCAGCGTCACCCCCTAACCCCAGTAAAAAACCAAAAATTTCCCAAATCTATCCCATACATGAAAGCCAAAGTGATTTTTTTAAACAAAAATTTGAATGTACCATTCTCCTCCTTAAAGCACTTCAAAGGCCCCACATTAAATATCAAAATTAAATTATAACCACTTAACAAGCTCTTGTAAGGCTCTTCAAAGTCTGGTTCCTCCCTACTCTATTTGGTGAGCCTCATTTCTAGTCACTGTTCCCCGCTCCAACCTTCACCTGGAGAACTCATGATTCTTCTTATATGTCACCCACTTCAATCCACCACAAACCAGAAGTAAGTTAAGTGTCCCCCATGCACAATCCAGGAGCACCTTGTACACCTTTCCATCATTTAACACACATACTGTATCTGCCTGGTTACTTGTCTACCTCAAACCCATCCCCCACTATAAGGCTGAAAGCCCCATGAGAGTAGAGAAATTGTATTTTATTCAATTTATTAAGCCTAAAACAGTTCTTGGCTCATAATAGGTGATTATATTATATATTTTTTCTTTAATAAATGATTATATTATACATATATACTTTCTTTTATAAATTAAATAATTTTTAAAGCCTATTGGGCAATAAAATACAAGTAACTATGGACATTTGCTCTATAGTATACCGTTTGAGGGAATAAGTTAACAATATTTGTTCGATAGTAAAAATCAAAGTCAATAGACGAGGTTTTACAATAAAATGCTAGAAGCAGGTATTAACATATATTATTTCACAAATATGCTTATAAAGATGTATGATTTTCCTATAAAGCCAGTGAAAAAAAGCATATTATTCAAGTTGGGGAGAGTGTCAGGATCTTTACAACTTCAAAGTAATTCTAACAAGTCAATTTTCTATATATTGGAGCCTTTCTTGAATAAACTATTTCGGAGTGTCACTGGGAAATAAGCACTTCCAGAAGCAAGGGCGGGGGAAGCAAGTGTGGTTTAGAGAATGGTCTCTGGGAAATAGGTCAGCTCGGGACCTCCCATCGACATTCCCATTGCACTGGCAGTCCTGCTCCAGAAATGGCCAATCAGTTCATTCAAGACTAGCTCACTCGTGTGCCTGTAACCACCAAAAGTGCACGTTCATTAAGGACAGATTCTGGCTCAGAGTCATTAAGCCTATACCGATACTAGGATATTTTTACAACTTTCTACTCAACATTCATTTATCCCACAAATACTGAGAACTGACTATGTGTGTGTTGGGCCTATTCCAGGTTCTGAAGCAACAGCAGAGCACAAAACTTCCATGGTTCCTGCCATCACAGAGATTACATTACAGTGGAGAAAGACAATGAAAAGACAGAGAAATAAATACATAGTATAATGATATATGCTGCAATAAAATGTAAGCTTAGATGGGTTGGTTAGGAAGTTCATCTCTAAGGAAGAGACACTGAGTAGAGAGACCTGCAAGAAGGAAAGCGGCGAGCCATGGGAGGAAGGGCGTGCCCGGCAAGATAACAGGATGCGTGAAGATCGGAAAGTGCTAGGGGTCCGAGGACCAGGGAAGGCTCTAGCGTGACCACAGCAAAGCTTGTTAGAGTTGACTGGAAATAACAAGAGAGTAGCTGGACTCCAGACCACTGCTTCTACTAGAGAATTGCTGTTTTGAGTCCAAATTACATGGTTTCATGTAAATATGGCATCAATCATTATCCTGGTCATGACCAATGGAACACTTCTATTAAGTTTAAAGTAACACAAGATGGTCAAACAATAATAATATCTCTATCTATACAGTTTATATAATATTTGAAGTATGTTCATACTTAATACAGTGGAAATTCCTAATTGCAAGCTTTAAAAAGCTTCCCAGTTGGTCATGTAGAGAAACCAAACCCCTGGGTACTGATGAAACCCGTCTGGGCTCTCTTGGCTGGCAAGCAGTAAAGTTCTGAAACGGAATCCAGATCAACCAAGGTCTACTGAGGTGCCTTCATATGTTGAAAAGGGTAGAACTGCTTCTGAATGTATTTATTCATCTATTTCCCAACTATATCCTATAACACTTCAGGAAGTGCTAGGGAAAAGAAGTTAAAATTAATTTGAAGTTGTATTTGTCCTGAGAACTTTAATTGTCCCCCACATAAAGTGACAGATCAGGTTTATGCATATGTTTAGATATGCAATCAAAGAAGCATGCTAATTACAGAAAATATTCAGTAAAGACATAATCAGATATTCCTAAACACCACCTTCTCTTCATCCTCAAAGCATACTACATAAATTTACAGTGCAGGCTTTTCACACGGTTTCTTTCTCCAGCTAGACTGGGAGCTCCTCGGGGTAGGGCTACACAAACACATGTTGAAACTCCATGCAACAGATCCTTAGCAAAGATCTGAATTACAATTTTGATGTAAAGGATGTGATCCTGAACAGTACATTCAGGTGACCTGGGCTATCTTCCTAATGCCTATTTGCCAATAAAAACTACTTTGCACAGAAGATATACATCACCCTCTAGCTTTGCCACAGGAGGACTAACAAGTATATGTCTTGTGGGTGAAACCATCCTGAAAAGATCTTCAGAGAAGGTCCATTTTACGTTTTTTTTACTGTGAAAGATACATTAGCATCTAAGATTAAAACACTATGTAAAATTTTAAATATAAGGCAAAGTTATTTGGTCTTTAAAATTTTCATAACTATAATGGCAAAACTTAGAAAACCTACCAACTGAATGAACTAGATAAAGCTAATAAAGCTGGCCCACAGGCAGTGTGTGTTGGGAGGTAGGGAGGAGATGGGAGACAATATTTCTAAACTTCACTTTTGATGGGGACTTGCAAATCTGACCAATCTGTGAGTGTGTCTATGTGCACGCACACACTTTATCAAGCATGTTTCCCGCTTGGAAATACAATGCCATTAGTACAGTGGGAAAGAATAGAATTGTTTTCAAAATCAAAACTAGAGCTGTGACTATACATACACAACATACAGAACTGAAGAAATTTCTTCAATAATTCAAAAGTTTGAGAAAACATATCCTACTGATACTGAGATGCTATGAAGTTTCAGTTAACCAGGATGGAATCGCTTGTGGATTACATGGTTTTAAACACAGACTTTGAATTCTGAACTGAAACCATCTCAATGCTAGCAAGAATGCAGAGACCCAGGAATTCTCTAAAATTGCAACTAGGAAACCACTGTAAACCTTCCTAGACAGTAAACTGGCAACATATAATAAAACCTTTAAGTGTTCATTGTTTGTACCAGTAATTATAGATATAGAAATATTAAGAAACTAATCCAAAATGCAAAGACTTGTGCATCAAAGTGCTTATCACAATATTATTTATAATATCAGAGCATTGGAAACATGTGTGTTCAACAGAGGAATAATTTAGTAAATTATGATACTTTCACATGATGAAGTAATGCAATCAATAAAATGTTTACAAAAGGCTTTCTACAAAATAACATTATGTCATATACATTTCCCAAGTATAAAATTCAGGATTCACAACTGCATATGTAGTATGACCTCATCTGGGTAAAAATGGATTGACAAAAAACTAAAATAAAAATACCACAGCGGTTATCTCTGGGTGCCACAATTATGGGCTATTATTCATTCCTTTTTTAAGTCATCAAAAATGTGCTTAATTTTCACAATAAGTGTGTATTGCTTTTATAAAAGCAAAATTTTAAAGAAATTGTTAACTTCATCAAAACGCTAAACTACGTTTTGATGTAGTACAATTTGCCTTTCTTTTAATCAGTTGGAAAACAAAAATCTTTCAAGGCCAGTTTGTTTACCTTAGAGAATACAGGGACATTCAACCTGCACATTTGGAACCAGAGGCCTGTGAGGTCAATCCATCTGAGAGGTAACAACAGGGCCTGTCTCCAAGCACGGCGCAGGGCAGACAGTCCGGGGGCAGCTCGGGAGAGTGAGAAACCAGTCAGGCGGCTTTCCTACTGGTCTGCCCACTACAGCCTAACTTCACATTTTTGTTTCAGATTTCGTGTCTCCTCAAAATAACTGAGACTCTCACATTTCAATAAATGTAAGAAATACAAATACATTTCTGTGTTCTCATTATTAGCCACTCAACTGTTCTTTGAGTAACCATACAAAAAGGAAAGATTTTTATTTCTGGCCTAAACTACACAGATAATCCAATAAAGTATGTTCATACTTTAATAGTTCCATTAAGAAGTACATTTAATTAAGATTTTAAAAGGCAGCACTTAGAGATCTTAGAAATCATCTATTGACACAGCCTTTAAAAAAAGAGAAAACTGATTATCAGAGGGCAGGCCCACGGCCTCACAGCGGATCTCCAAATTCCTAGGAAATGCTTCCATTTCCTTCACTTCAGTTAAGAAGGCTTTAAAATCTGAACACAGAACCATACTTTCTAATGATGGCCTAAGACTACAGTTTTTACAAACAAGGATGTATTTTTGACATATAACTTTTCAGTCTTTCTTTGGAGGGACTGAATGCCAAAGCAGTTGTTGGCTTCACAGCACTTCAGGAGCCCTTCTTAACTTTATGTGTATGATTTAGGTTGTGACGTTAAACGTTATTTTCACTAGGGAGATTGTGACTTTTGAATAAATCAATTGAAACTTTACAAAGGTTTGTTGAGAGAGGAATTCTCCTAGAAACAAAACTTGTTTGTGTGTATGTGTGTGAACGCGCGCTTACGTATCTTTCTTTAACTGACACTACTGAAAACTGAATGAACCTTTTATCATATACAGCATAGTGTACAGTTTTTAAAAATTTTAACTTCAATAACTTTTCTTTCCAATAAACACTTCTAAATTTTTAAAAAATGACCTTACAAAAGCATGACACCAGTATTTTCTCTCTAGAGTAATTTCATTCACAAAATTTTCATGCATAAAAATCATTCATCTAAAATTAGTAGTGTCACTCTCACCTCAGAAAGGTTGATATGTCAATCTTAAGTGCAATAATTTAAGAGCATATTTCAAACAGTTTTCCTTTCCAATATGCTCTAAAATATTTAAGACACCAACAATTTCTAATGAAAACCATTACAATTTACCATTATAAATTATTCAGTCATATTACAAAGTCAATATCTTTTCAAAAGAGCTATTTAAAATATCCCATTTTAGAACAGAGTGTGACAACTATTTATAATAAGTTAGGCTGAAATTAAATATTTCATGGACACTGTGATGTTGACTTAATACCCAAGATTTTCTTTTTAAAATACAAAACCCCTTTTAAAATGTGACAGTTATACATTGTTATATATCTCCGTATGTTCCTACTTGATATATGTCTCCACCCCCCCGCCCCGTAATTGCTAACCCAAAACCTAGGATGCAAAATATAATTGCAACAAAATTCAATCTTACTTTCTAATATACTTTTCAACTCGCAGATTTAAAGAAATAAACTAAGATTGGTTTGAGAACTTTCACACATACATGTAGATATATATACATATATATATATGAACATATGGATCTATATAAGACATGCACTTACAATAAGTTTCCAGGAGTCAACTGAGATTTCATAATATTGTAATGATTTCCTACATAGTATGTATACACACACTTAATCGAGACAATCTCACCATATTCTTTAAATCTACAAAACAAAGCATTCGAGAAATCATTTGAAAATATATTTGAAGTCTTAAATAACAGACTTAAAAAAAATGCTTTGGGATGTTACGTAGAAAATTAATTTAGTAATCTAATTTATTCATAATTATTATGACAATTAATAGGTACTATGATACCCTCTAGTGGGGCAGGAGGGTCATACCTCTGGTAGTAACTTTCAATCGCTTCTGAAGTATGATGTTTGGCATGTGTTCTCTTAATATGTTTCTGAAACAAAACAGAAAAGATCTCTATGTTGTGTCACAGATGAGGTTCAAGAACAAAAATGACGTATTTCTTCATCCCAACATCTAGCACCGAGGGCACCCTGAGTAACAGTCTGGGGACTGTGGTGGTGGGAGGTCTTTTTCCTTCTACCCCATGAACCTACGCATTCTAATCTCCATTGCTTGGCTGGGACGTCTTCAGAGTGCACCACAAGGTACAGTACGTATGTAAAAGCCAACAGGGTCAGAGTAATTGAATCTAAATAAGTTTGCTTAGGGTTGCAGAGGGCAAAGAAAAACTCGTTCCCTTGAAAACCTTTGTATTAATTTTCCCTCAATTCAATTCCATCTAAGTCCTCGGCACTCGAGTTTTACAATCCAATTGCCATTTTTAACCGGGACGAACATTGCTTAAAAACAACTTATTTGAAAACTACAAAAAGTAATTCCATCGAGACTTGCCACTTGACTGACACCTGTCATCTCATGATAAATGACTCCATTTTCTGCCTCTCTTGCCTTCTGCCACTCCAGCAATGGTCATTTATCATCATCTCTGTCAGCAATGGAAAGCAGCACTGACAGTGCAAGTCAGCAAACATTTAGCACATGGAACCACGCAACACAGGGAAATTATTATTGTCAGAATAATAATGGTTTAGCATAATTTATTACAGGTCCACCAAATAAGCAAAGGCTAGATGTTATTAGACAGATGGATGGGTAGGCTTGGCAGGCCTCCACTGAGACGCAGGCGGTGCTTGATGTGGGAAGGAGAACATCCTCCAGCCCAATCAGAGAGCTGGCAGTTCAATTACAAAGAAATAAAGGGACATTCATCATTCAATTAGGCACCTGTCAGCCCTCACAAAGGAGAAAACTTCTAACCTGGTACTCCTGGGAGAAGATGCTCAGCAGAGTGGCCTGCGATTGACTGGAACAAATAAAAGAAGGACAAAGTTAATTACTGGAGTGCACGGCAAAGAAACAAAAGAGAAAGGAGCTTCAAAGGTAGGCCTGCTGCCCTGTAATCTAACAGAACACGGAAACGAGTGTGGAAAAGTTGTTCCAGATGAACACCTCAGACAAAGGCCTCCCGCTGCTGGGTCAAGGAGAGAGGGAAAGGGAAAGGGGGGAATGCGGATGGTCGCAAGGCCAAGGATCATATGATGCGGGTATTTTTTTAAACTTGACAATGATTGTAAATCAAATCCGTAGCATGCAGTGATGTTAAAAGGGACCAAACGCAGGTAAGGCTTATTTCCATTCATAGATGAGAGAGTTAAGCCCCACAAACAATAGGAGGTGCATGGTGCATTCCTTGGAAACATTCTGATGTGTATTTTGTTGGCAGGCAGGTATCCTCTTCTGTAGCTGTCTCAGATTCAGGGGGAACAACTTGGGTCTTCCCTAGAAGTAGCACAGAGACCACGGGAACATTCCCACTGATACTGTGTGCTTTGAAAATAGAAGCTCTCGCAGCAGGGAGCTGAGGTCCTTGACGTGAGTCATTCCCAGAGACTGCCTGCCATAAACCTTCATCTAGGACTCTGTGCCATGGCAAACACCTGCCAATGAGGCAACCTGGAAAACGTTCATCCCAGGTGGGGATTTTTCTCTCACAATTGTTAACATTTAAAAATGGAACAGAATATCTTCATCTCTAAAAAGCAATCAATGTCCTATTGTTACTCTCTTTTTGATGCCCCTCTGTAGACACAGTTACCTTATCATATCTTGAAGACAATGATCACTGATATATTTTCCTACTAAATGCTATCTGAACAAATTAGAGCATTCATAATTTGACTGTTACAGTACACTGAAGCACTGTGAATAATTTAAAAAATTTTCTATTCAAGAATGGAACCTCCTAAGCTCATCACAAGTAACTTGGGGAGTGCAAAATAACAAGGACAGTGTATTTCTTTATTCACTATCTCATTTTTTATCATTTTCTGTATTCCATCATATTTGGCTTCTAGCCCCTTTCTACTCTTATCAGATTACAAAAAGTAGGTTAAAGACACACATAAATGTTTACTACAGAGAACAATGATTACTAAAGGATGGTTTCAGTAACTGAAAAGGACTGAGGAATTAGTGACAACAATTACAAATTCATTACAGTCCAATTTCTCCAATTTCCCTTTAAAAATGGAAACCATCTTTAAAGAGCCAATTTTATATATCAAATCTTAATATTATGCCTGGCTTGCCTAAGCTTCACGTGCAAATCACATACCTGGTAGGGTCGCAGACAACCATCCTCTTAAAAAATGGTAAAATTATGCTCAAATCTTTGTAAGCCACTGAATAAGTCAATACATTAGATACTTTTGTGTAATAAGTGGAGCCCCTCCTCATTGTAAAGCAAAATATATTTATGTTAACATAAATATTTATAGTAGATAAAATATCTGTCTCAATGTGTCAAAAAATATGATGGGGAAAAATGTGCTTGTAATGCTCTAGTCGGGGACCAATGACTAGAGAGGAGGAAATTAAACTGTGAATTAAAAAAAAGTAATTGTTGGTGCCCAGAATGGTAAGGCTAGATGAGATAATGTCATTAGCCAGGAAATGTCTTTAAATTGCTTAGAATTCAGCTAAAACCGTGGACAGAGACTATGGAGCAACCCATTCTCTCAGTGGCCAAGAGGATTAGAGAGAAAGTTCCAGCTTACCCTGGGAGTACAAACTGGCTAGACCTAAAATGAAAAAGAGTTACTTCACACGGTAACAACAGAAAGACACACCTGGGTCCCAAATGCTTTGGGTTTGGTCGACTAGACAAAGCTTCGGGGAACTAAATGACCCCTGAGGGTAGTCTGCCAGTCCACCTATCCCCTGATCCGGTATGTGCTCTGCTTACAGAAGAGGGTTCTGAACAAGCCTCCCACGTAAAGAGCAGGAGAGCAGTTTTAGTGCAACTAAGATGTTGACTCCAGTGCATATTATTTGCTTCTTTCTTCCAGTGTGTTAATTCTGAGAAGGTCAACCTTGAATACCACAGTCAATCAATCAGCAGTGTTCACTAAGTATCTACAATGTCCTAAGGTCATGGGTATGGAAAACAGTCACGTCAAAATAAAAAATTAAATGAGGTGGACAGGAATTGACTTAGACGAAACTTTCAACATACATGCACAACGGTCCCCTGCCCCCAAATTACAACACTGTCATGTATTCATATATTTTTTAGGGATCTGGTGAAATAAATCATACCCTGAAATCTCACATATTTCAAGACCGCACTGGCTCTGGATCATATATCTGTCACTTAGCATGTAAATTTTCATATTAAAAAATACAGTCACTTAATTTGCACAAACGCCCAATATATTATTAAAACCTCTTCAAAAATCAGTTTCATGTTTTTTTTCCCATGCTACCCTCCCAGATTACATTTCACCCCATGTCTGAGAAAGGAGAAACTGGGAGGAGCCCTAGAATAGCTATGTAAAACCTTGCCCGAGGCATGTGGCAAATGGCTGCATGGAGCAGCAGCAGCCATGTTGCAGCAATGAGAAAACAAGCATGAGGTCAAAGCCTACACACTGAGGACAGTGGGACAGAAAATGGAAAGAGCCCAGGTCCTTAAGGAAGGACGCTACTGAACTGCTCAAGAGACCACAAATTGAACTGACCAGCCTCCATACTTCTTTTGAGTAATAACACTTTTTTTTTAAACCCTCAAAAACAAAGGAATAAAACTGCCCAGGTTTCTAAGTGTCCTGGTAAAGAGGTGCTCCATCAAGATGGCATGTGTTTGAGATGTAACACATGAAAAGGGTTGTCCGTTTTTACACTTTCTAAAATCTCTTCTTAGCTGGCAGCTACTAGGCTTCCTTAAAATTGTTCCTCTCTCTGTCACTGCATCACTAAGTTGATGTGCCTAGAGATCATAAATTTGGTGCATATGATTTTCCCATACAGATTTTAAACACTGAGGGGGTACTATTTACCCTCATTTTATATTGCATTCAGGTATGTCAAACAGGCAAAAAACCAGTTCCCTATATATTTAACTCAACACGTCCCCAAACCCATCCAGCTAAGGCACTCAGTAACCTGAAGATTAGAGAAAATCAGGGTTGGGTGGGTGCAGCACAGACTAGGAGCAGAGCTCAGCATACACTCAGTTGCAACATTCATGTGAAAGGCAAGTCCTCATGCTCCCAGGTGGAGACTTAAAACATAAAATCTTAAGGAAGAAGATAGCACGCATTTTATGGCCTTCCTTTTCCCAAGTACCAAACCTCTGAAAAGGACTGTAAAGAAGTAAAACCGCGATTTAATTTTCAAGCTCCTTTTGCTACAGAATCTAGGAAGCATAAATGTCCACGCTCTGGTGGGCTCAAAATTATCTGAGCACAATGAGTATTCTTTCTGGGACTCGGGAGCAGCAATTAAAGGGAGATAAGGCAGGATACTCCTACAAAGCATTGGGCTTGGAGACCTCACAGTTATAAGGCACAAAAAACCTCTCTAAATCTGTGAAGGATACAAGGGAACACTGGCTCTCTGTGGTTACTGATTCAGAGTACTGGTCAAGGAAGGTTTTCTATTAAATAAATATACCTACCCTCCAGTACAACCCCCACCTTCCTCATACACACACCTATATGTAAATTTGAAACACAGAGCCTTTTCCCCCATCAAAATAAAAATGGAATTCAATAAAAGAGCAAGACTTGGTACAATACCATTAACTTTACATTTTTTTTAGGAACGTACAATGCACAGTGGAAAGGATATGGGAAATTATTGTGCAGAAGAAAGGAAAGTTAATTAAACTAAATTCAAGAAATAGAGAAAAAATTATCCATCATACCTCCCCCCGCCCCCATTTCTTCTTTCTAATTTCCAACTTCATATCAAGGATGCCAACTACAATTTATGCCTAATCATAGCAAATATTGCCATAAATGACTATACAGATGACAGCATTGAGTTTAGTAGTAATCAACTATCAAACAAATTCTTAGCCAAGCCAGGTGTGGCTCAGTGGTTGAGCATCAACCTAGGATCAAGGAGATTGTGGTTTGATTCCCGGTCAGGCACATGCCTGGGTTTGGGCTCAATCCCCAGCGAGGGGCATGCAGGAGACAACCGATCAATGACTCATCATTGATGTTTCCATCTCTCTCTTTCCCTCTCCCTTCCCTTCTCTGAAATCAATAAAGATATATTAAAAAAAAATTCTTAAAAGGTATACTTATGTTGTATAAAGGAAAAAAGCAGTGACTGTCACAAGTACTTAATTAGTTTTGCTAAGAAATGTAAGTTACATGCAAAACAGCCCTACAAGAACCAAGATTTATATTCTTTATTTTACCCTCAAAAACCCTCTAAGGTAGGTACTATTATTGTCCTTATTTTAAAGATGAAGAAATGAAGGGAAAAAAGTTAAGTAAAATACACAATTAAAGAGCTAGGATTAGCAGTAGAGCTAGACATTAAAATCCATATCCAACTCCAAAACCCAAACTCTTAACCCCAATGCTAATGTGCTTTGCTAACAGTTCCCAGAAATCAGTTCTGCGCATCATGTGTACTAATAGCCCTGCTTGAGCATTTATATGTTACATTACACTTCAAATAACCCTGAAAGGTGAGCATTGTTGGGGTTTTGATAGAAAATTGAAGCCACAGGAGGTCTAGCATTTTAATCAAATTCCATGGCCTTAGACAATAATCCCTTTTCAAAAAAAATCAAATTACAGTTTTCCTTTACTTAACTACATAAAAATGCTGTTCTTTTTTAGTGTGTTGAAAGGTAAAGGAACTACTGACTACAGGAAACAGTCATGGATTAAAAATTGTTGGGTAATTTCCAAGATGCTCCCTGCAGCTAAGGTATATTTTGTTAACAACCATACCATTGCCTGAAGTGTCTCTTATGTGAATGCACGCGTGTCTTTTGCTCAA